ATTAGAGCAATTTCCCCTATAATTTATTTTCGAAGTGAACCTAATTTCATAACCCTTTTTGCTGTATTGGTGAAACCATTCGCGTTGACGAAGAATCTGTAACTGTTCACTCCTATAGGACAACCCCATAAGCCAATGTCAGTTTCGTTAATCGCAGTGGATCATTTCTTATCATTTTATTTCACTGAAAAATTCCGCACTCAAAATTTCAATCTTTGCATAAAAGGACAAGTCAAAAGTAGGTCTACTCAAAATTGAGTAAACAAAGTTGGGACTGATAAGAGGACGAATGTTCAACATCGACCTGAACCCGAACGATGTTGTTAATTTGTCATCTTGTCAGTACCAGTTTTGTTTATCAGCGTAGCCCTACTTTTGACGGATATGAGTAGATCAAACCATGGTGGACAGCTTTATCACTATATGGGCGAGGAGGTCGCGGGGGGGAAAAGTGCGGTTTAGAGCAATTTTTAAACAATCTCGGTCGCTGTCCCATACACGGTAACTGCAAAATACCCAAAAATGACTACAAAGTAAGCATTTTCGAGGGAAACTGGGACTACCCATTAAATGAGTAAAATTGCCACTTGGCGCTACCAACACTTAGTGTCTAGTGTAAGTTGTGCAACTCCAACGCCATCAGGTTATCAAAGAGGGTTTTGAAGTGGGGAGGTCGCCGTTAGGGGGGCTTAAGTTGAATAGGAATATTTACACTAGTTTTTAGAGAAATTTAGTTCGAACCTCAACGTCTGTTATCTGTGGTAATAGTCTGCATGGCGACCACTATCAGCAGCTAGTTGGCGAGGTATACAACTCTAACAAATAGTTCGTAGGTATCAATAAATAGAGAATTACTATTTTCATAATTTTTTTAATATTCTTTCTGGACGAAGTGCTTTATATGTAAAGTATTCAGTTGACAAATGTCATCATTTGAGTAACCGTTACCCAGTTTCCTCCATAGGCACGATTACTCACATTTGAGTAAAAGTATGTTTTCCCAATTTTTGGCTGGACTGAGTGATTTTCGACTCAAAAATGAGTAGCCTCAAAAAAGCGTGTAGGTCACTCATAAAATGAGTAAACTTCTACTCATTTAAATTTCACTCATATTTGAGTGACATTTCTCATATAAGAATTAACTTTTACTAATATTTGAAAAAAAATACTAATTCAATGAGTAACCTAAGTCTTCACAGAAATTCTAGATAAACATTTCAAAAGGTCATATCTGCATTGATTGATTCCCTTCATCGACTTTCGCTTTCGTTAATAACTCAGTTACTAAACATTCCCTGATGTGTTTGATGTTTTTGATGCTAGATAACAATGGTACAAAATTAGCATGATATCTGTTTGCAAAACCGTGGTTATAACAGAAGAAAGTCGATGAAGAGATTCGATTAAATCATAAACGATCTTTGAAATGTTCATTTAGAATTGCTATTTTGATGTTGATTGCAAAGCCTGCATTGATTCAAAAAATGTAAAAAAAAATATATGTGTCTTGAATGTCAAAGCGGCACTCATTAGCCCATACCAGCCTCACAAACGTCTTCAAAGGAAACTCTTCTCTTTGCCAATTTTTTTGGTTCTATGGTTCATTTATACGCGTGATTATACATAAATTATTGAAAAATTAATGGCGATACACTCTAATTCGCATTAACATTTATTACCAGCCCTGATTGATCTATAAACCTTCACCAAGCCTCATCCGTTGATGATGGGCGGTGAGGTGTGTTTCTCATCGGCACCTCTGGCCAAAGGAATGATCGCCGATTCGCTCATGTACTTCCTATTATAGTCACTAGAGTGTACCCCATTAGGCATAAATACGTTAGGCATACGGACGTTAGGCATACGGACGTTAGGCATACGGACGTTAGGCATAAAGTCATTATGCATAATGGACGTTAGGCATAATATACGTTAGGCATAATGAACGTCAGGCATAACATACCTTACTGCTGTGTAACTCGAGAAACCTGTTTCGAGCATGGTGAACAATGCTTAAATTAGGCTAAGCGTTGAATAAAAAATGATACAAGTTATACAAACATAGTTTATTTAATAAGCACAGTATTGGAATCCATTATTTATCATATCATAAGTGACGTAGCTACATATTTACTTAGATCCAAGATTAGTACCGATAGCGGTTAAGTAACCTGGCAATGAAAACTCAGCATAGTTTTGAACTATATTTTGAAATCAATCGTATCTAGAAATAAAAAAATCACCCATTTGTTGTAATATATTCTTACACACATATTGCAATTGTCAAAGAAGAAAAGGTTTTCCTCAAAGAACAGCTCACGGCATAAAGAATGGTGAAGTCTGTGATTTTTCATTCAATAACAAAAAAACAGCTAAGGTTGAATAACATGTGATGCCAAAGAACAGCTCATGAAATGAAGAATGCTGTCTTCTGTGGTTTTTCATTCAATAAAAAAAAACATACCTGCTGCTTCCAGGATTTCCTGCCATACTTTTCGATACAACGATTCTATTTTTGTTTTCATCAGAATGAAAACTAGCAGAACCGTCTGCTGATGTGAGGCAGCGATACTTCCATTAACAGTGACGAGTTGCCGAAACAAACAAGGAACTGTGCCAAACGTACCATCTGTAACGCAATACTTTGCCTGTCCAAGACGTTGCAAGTTTTCATGAGTTCCAAAAATTAAGGCTCTTTCATTATTGTCACCGAAGTCAGCAATCAATAGACGGTCCCCATTATCATCCTTCTGGAATTCATCGGCTAGATTATGCCTAACGTCCATTATGCTTTCTTCTTCTTGTTCGCTTTTCAAGCTTATTGCTTAGCGCATATTAGCTTATTGCGTGCTCTCAACTTAGTGTTCTAAATGCACTTCCACAGTCATTAATTGATAGCTTTCGATACCAATACCAATGCATGAATTTGTATATTGTGTGGCAAGCACAATTATACTCTATGCCCAGGGAAGTCGAGAAAATTTCCAACCCGAACGTCCATTATGCCCAACGTCCATTATGCCTAACGTCCATTATGCCCAACGTTCGTATGCCTAACGACCGTATTCCTAACGTCGTGTACCCATAGCCACTATATTTATAGTCTGGCCGATAGAATTTCGATCTATCAAAAAGCGCAACCAATTCAATATATTGTAGAACAACAATTGAAAAGGTACTTTCAACTGTTATAAACAAAACATTGATTATTCTTTCCTCGCCAATCGAACGCAAATTACCAGCATCGTCGGATAGGGGAAACTTTCCCCAACCCCAAGATGGTGTAAGTTTGCGTAGGCGAGCCTTGAATCACGAGAAAAGGACGCAATATGACCAATGATACTCAAAACTCACACTGGACTAGCCTATTGGTCCCAAACAAATCGATTATCGTACCCCATTCTAGTCGAAATTCTAGTACTACACTATGTTTGTTTTGGTTCGCTATGAAAATTTGACAGATAAAATGAGGGGTTCGTGGATTTTCCTTTCGAGGGGTGTGTTTTGTACAGCTTCCTGACGCGGGATTTGGCCACCGTATTCTGTTTATCGGTTCGGTTAAGGCCACGTCCGGAATCGAAAGGTTCGGATTGCGCTTGAAGTAATCGCTCCCCTTCCTTGGTTGAATTGTACTATAATCCCTCATCTTCCTTGCGTTCACGGGGTCGGTCGTCTTCGCTTTTCTTCTGCTGCCAGCTCGCCGCTGGGTCTTCTGCGTCTCCTTGAACGATTTTTCCACACGGGACACTGTCGAATTGTCGATTCCAAAATTTTTCGCGATCCTCATGTGGGACTGGCCTGGATTTTCCACGACCGCTCCCATAATTTTTTGTCGAAGCACTTCTTGCTTGGAAGCCATCTCGATAACCACTTGACAAATTGTGACGAGATTTTGCACATGTAATTATTGCACTCTAAACTAATTTTACTCAAAATTTCATCAACTTTTACCCATGTAATAAAAAGTTATACACAAAAGAAAGTGTTGCATTTTTTTTTCGAGAACAATCTTTAGTGGATGATTAAGTGAGTGAAAAGTTATGATTGCGATTGGAAGCAAATTTAATAATTCCTAAAAGCATTGTTTTATCTGAACTGAGTATTTGCAACCTAGAGGGGGACGTATATTTGAAAAATCACATTTCGGGTTCGGGTCGGGGGTGCGGGTTGGGTTCAGGTATTTAAAATAACGAGCTCGACCATCTCTAGTGCAGAGGTCGCCACGAGGTTTAATAAAAAATCTTCAGAATTTTTCATACCGCTATCCCCTGGTTTAATGTCAAGTCCAGGGGAACCAGAAACGCCAACACGAACCAACCGGACAAGATAAATGTTCCCAAAAAGCTTAAATTAAGTGATTTACTTTTTGACTCAAACTACACCGTAACCATATCAAAAACACAATCTATTGCTTTGACGACTTAAATAAATTACACAAACACCAGTAAACAAAATAAAACCCAGTAACGCTTATAAACCCCACTCTACTGCCGCTTCACAACAAAGGTGTAAATATTTTTGCTGAAAAACTATCCCTGGATCCGCCGCGCATTGTTTCAAATTGCAACCACCACCAGCAGCAGCAGCAGCATCGACCGACCGAAGTTGATTTTTTGCTAATGAAAGGAGAAATTAATTTTCTATCTCGGTTACTTTTTCCCCATCATTACTTTTTGTCCCTTTTGTTCCCTCCTTCATTTACACACTAATGATTTTTTTGTTTGTGTCGTAAGCTTTCAGTTTTTGCGTTCGTCGTTAGTGTTTAGTTTTTTTTTTTGTAATTTGCTTTTGTTCTAATTTTGTCAGTAGCACATAAGACCGTTGTTGATGGCAACTTTTACTAACGACTTACTAATAGCATTCATTTTTCAGCGGATTTGAACGAAATTTAATTAACATTTCTCTTCTCGTGTTTTCTCTTCTCTCCCCAATCCCCGGTGCGCCTGGATGGGCGTGCTTGGGACTTTCTTTCTCTTACCCTATTCCTTGCAAACAAACAGTATAAGCTAGACTTTAGTGGCCTGGCCGGACGGGCAGCGAGCGGCGGCGCCCGGGACGAGGACGGTTCCTCGGGAATGCAAGGCGACAGCAAGGGATCCACGACCAGCACCGAGGCGAGCATGTGACAGTACGGGATGGCCCGCCGGGGCGTTAAAGGTGATGCCCGGCGGACCAGAGTATCTTTCCTGCTGTTTTAGAATAAGCATTAAACATTGCATATGGCCGTATTTATCGAATTTATATTCCGCGTTTGTGTATGTTTGATGATTCTCGTTTAGGAGCAGAAAACCGGATTCCAGTGAGCAAGAACCAAACTAAAAGAAGAAGAAGAAGAAAATCAAATCCTTACCAACCAAACGAAACCAAAAGAACCAAATACTCAAGGTGAACAAGAGATTCAAAGTTTGACCAATCCAGTGAGAATAACTCAATTTCTAGAGCGACCATCAAACCAACCGCATACACAAAAAGAAACCACATAAGAAAACACACACACGTCAGTCATAATTACGAGGAACAAAAAACCAGTGTTTGTTAAAATATGTGTAATATGAAATCATAAATATTGAAATATGAATGTTTAGTGAATCGAAACCCTAAATCCTAAAAACAAAACAAACAAAATCGAAAACTTGAGGAGAATCCCCTGCTAAAACAAATTCGCTATTTGAAACAAAATTCTACGCACCCCTGCCTTGCCCCCCCCCCTTCTAGATACGCTGAAATACACCAAGCACCACCGCTTTTAGTTCCAAGCAAAACCCGTGGTTGTACACGGCTACCCTGTGGACGCAATAAAATTTCCCTTAGTCGCTTACCTTTGCTAATGTAAACAGTATAGGATAGATTCGTTTCCGGTAGCTCAATCCAGTTCTAGCATTCTTTTCTCTGCCTCTCTTTCTCTCTCTCTCTCTCTCGCTTTCTCTTTCAACCACTCGCATCACACAACTCTGGCATCTTAGCTTAGATTGCAAACGCTCTACAAAGGATTTTATTCTGAGGACAGCTAGGTGCTGTTGCGACACAAACAATGAAAATAATTCAAAGGCTGGCCGGTGACATTGGTGTGCTGAAGTGGAAATTTCAACAGTTGGGGAAAATGCCCCGATTCGGTTGATTTTGAGTTGGGCTAGGCATTTTAGAAACTAATCCATTTCAAGACTGTGAGGTAATAGTTATACTACTAGACGTAGTGTTAATCTACCAACAATGACATATCGGCTCCGTATAGCTTACACGATTGAGCTTTCCAAATAAATTAAATGAAATTAAAAAAAAAACTAGAAGAGCTGCTTGACGGAAGGTCAAAATAGCTCAGACCAAAATCGCTGAAAAACTCAAAAGAAAGTCAACTGGTGCGTTTGGCCCCTGAATTAGATAATTTTTAAACAAGGGTGGAACACACTTAAACTTTTTCGCCGAGATTCCAACAGCCGAATAGTTCTGCAATTTATTTGGCTGAGATTCAGTAAATCAATTGCCGAGACTCAGCTAACAAATAACATTTTGATGAGATATCAGCTAACAAACAGATATTTTGCAGAGATATTAGCAAAAGTAAATGCCGAGGTAATCGGCTGTTGGAGATTTTACCGAGCTATATTAGGTGTGATTTCTGGTCCACTGATGTGTGATGAATAAAAAATCTAATACAGCTATGAACCACAAGTGATCCCACTGCCACTAAAAGTAACATTATGAGTGAGCCGCTTTTATAAGGTTGCAGTGCTGAATAGCTATTTTTTTTAAATTTATATGATATTCCCGTACAACTGAGTAAAAGTTACTCATCCACTGAATTAGTCTCAGTGACCGTGTATTCAACATCAGTAGTTTGCTAACGTTTTTAGGAGTCTGTCTGACTTCTTAAATATGTAATGATGCATGTAGACGTTCTCAGATGCCCTTACAGCATGACCAGGCATGGTAAATCATTTGCATTCATTTAAATTCATTTGTCCCTAACTTTTTTCATCAACAGAGTTCCACAAAATGATGTATGGAGTTTTTGTAGATTTTGTTATTAACTACAACTTTTTTCAACAAGTCAAATCCGTATCTCTTATGCATGACGAACCTGAGCGAACAGAAACCACTACTGTTTTTCAGTGAATGTATTTTACATTCACTGAAAAACAGTAACAAGTTCTGCCTGCTCTAGTTCGTGAGTCATAAGAGATACAGATTTGAGTTATGGGCAGTTGTAGTTAATAACAAAACCTACAATAGCTCTATACATCATTTTGCGGAATGCTGTTGATGAAAAAAGTTAGAGACAAATGAATGTAAATGATTTTCCATGCCTGAGCATGACTACACGGTCGTTTAATCTCACTCAAATTTGAGTTCCGTTTACTCAAAATACGCAAGAAAACAACAGTCACTCAAAGACTGAGTAACATTTTCCAAGATTTTCCTCACATGTAAACAGATTTATGTTCAAATTTGAGTGACATTTTTTCATATCCGGAGAGCTGCGAAATTAGGGCGTAATTACTTTTGTAAACAAACACGTTAATCGTCGATTTCTGGCAAATGTCAGCTCAATATCAGAAATTAACAACACAAACTGGTAAACGAATGATTCCTCTATCATTTTGTAAAGTTTGTTCGCAAGATTGAGCTTTTATTCGCGAGAAATCGGCGATTGACTTGTTTGTTTACGAAAGTTATTACGTCCAAATTTCAAAGTTCTCTGGATAAATAATAAAATCATAGGCAAATATGATGGTATTGAAATTTTTATGCTCATCCTAAATAATGAGAAAACCGAAAAAATAAACAAAATCGCGTAACATTAATGAGTGTAAACGGATCTCAAATTTGGATGACATTCAACGACCGTGCAGTAGTCATCATCACGACTGCACTTGTCGTTTGCTGTCAGTTCAAAATGTCTTCTGATGACTTGAGTGAATTTTCGATAAAAAGTTCTTTTATCGTCTAAGTACATACGACAACCGATACGTATTTACGTCACCGTCATTTGCCGATTTCTCGCGAATTAAAGCTTAATCTAAAAAACTAATAACACAAACAGGCAGAGGAATAGTTCCTCTATGATTTGGTATAGTTTGTTTACAAAATTGTTCTTTTATTCGCGATAAATCGAGAATTCTCGCGTCACTTTTCAAATAGACCAATGTAACAAATGTAAACAAATCGAGTTAAGCGATACAAGCTATTGCTCTTCTATCATTGTATGTGATACAAAAACACCCATGCAAATTTACTTTCATTTATTTAAGAAAATCATCGATCAAAAATTGTCCAATGTATAGTTTGAAATGATGGGTATATGATTGTTACTTCGGTCATTCGGACTGCCTAACATGATTGGTGCTCATTTTCCAAAGGCAGGGCCAATCTAAAGTTAGGTACTATACTCTGAAATCTGTGAAAGGGAATCTAGTATCATGTAGACAAAACGTCCAATGTAACACTCATTGATTATGTCATTGAGAAAAATCGTCCAATGTAACATGTCCGATGTACAACTCGACTTGTCAAAACGTCCTATGTGGTTTTTTCTATGTTGTAGCATGAAATTCAAAGTAAAATTGTGATTTTACCGTTTCTTCTGAATTTTCAACGTTATTGTACACTGACTACATTAAAAATAGTATTGCAAAATGTATTATTTTTAAACAGTTAAAATAATAATCTGTCGAACTTCAACTTCGATTTTCTCAAAATGGTGGATATGTTACATTGGTCTATTTGAAAAGTGACGCGAGAATTATTACGCCCAAATCTCAAGTTCTCCGGATATATCAGAAATCTTATTTGGTGACTCCAATCATATACAGTGAAGACTTCAAGCCTCTTCTGACGGCTTTTGACGACTTCAAATGGCCTTTGTCGAATCCAGATTCCCATGCACGGTAAACGCAAAATACCCAATAATGACTACAAAGTAAGCATTTTCGAGGGAGACTGGGACTACCCTTTAAATGAGTAAAAATATTACCCATTTATGAGTATTTGTTAATCAAAAATGAATACTTACTACTTGTTTTTGTAGTTGTAATTACTAATAAATGGGTAAAATTTTACTCATTTAATGGGTAGTCCCAGTTTCCCTCGAAAAGGCTTACTTTGTTGTCATTATTGGGTATTTTGCGGTTACCGTGTGGACGACTCCAACTAGGCGTCTTCTGGTGACTCTTGCCAAGTACGTTTACGTCTGGGGGGGGGGGGGAGGGGGGACGTGCTGTCAAATCAGCCTACTGATCATTCTTGTATGAAACTGGCTCCAAACGTAAACAATCGCTGTAGGTTGCTTATGGCTTGTTTACCTTTGGAACCAGTTATGCGAGGCATGCGAGGTAGGCGACGATTGTTCGTATTTGACATCCACAGCCCTTGGTTTACGTTTACCGCGTTCGTAAGTGACATACACCCACAGTAGTCGAGAGCAATTCCAGCACAATCCACTGCATTTCATCGACGAACACGAATCATTACGGCTTCAAACGTCTGGGCGTTAAGACTCCAAATGACATCTGAAAGCGTTTAACTACACCAGGAATCTTTTGGAGATTTAACGTCTTCTGACAATTAAAGACGGCGTTGTTGACTGGAAGCGTTTTCTGATGACTCTAGACATCTTTTGAAATCTGCTTTCTAGTGAATGTTTGGTATGTGAAAGTATTGTGATTAAAAATTTTGACTTATTGTTTCTAAAAAAATCCTTAGAAACTACTTGTTTAATAAACCAGTCATCTTCTGATGAGTTCATACGTCAATATAAGACGTTTTCGGAAGACGCCGGACACTTTCTGATTACTCCAGATGTTTAATAATGACTCCAGGCTTCTTAAAATTGAAGACATCATATCAAGAAGATTGGCAACTTTGCCATAATCCAAGCGAGAGATACAATAGCGCTGCGCTTGAGTGAAGGTGGAAGCAACGCATAGAAAAATGAGCAAATACACAAATCTTTCTTCTGAGGATGTAATCTTTGCTATCAAATTCGTTCGAAGCATTTACCTTTGAGCGGCAGCTGACGCGATTATAACTATCTCATAGCGTTCGTATGAGAAAATGGAAGAGTTGCCAGTTTTCTTGATTTGTTGTTGACTTCGCTAAAATGCTATTTTGAATGTTCACGCATACTTTAACAGTCATCTTCCAGCGAACGCAGATGACTTCTGGCAACTCCAAGTCTCTTCTAAAGATTTAAGTCGTCTTCTGATGGCAACAGGCTATTCCAGCCGTAATCAACTGATGAAATCGGGTGGAGCCAAGATTTCGTCTTCTGACGACTCCAGGCATCTTCTGATGAGTTCACATCTGATGATTTACGCCTTCTGACAGCCTCGTCTGACGACTCAAGGCGTCCTCTGACTCCAGACATCCTGTTTATGAACTATGCATATGGTTTCATCAACATTTGACAGATTCTGGTTAATTCGGATGCGTCTTTTGAGGACTCCAGTCTTCTTCTGACGATTCCAAGTCACTGGAGACAGTTTTTAATCTAAATTCCAGTAGCTGTACCAGACATTTTCTGGAAAACTTAGATGAAGAATAATTTTGACGATTGCAAACTTCTGGTAGCTCAAGCCGTCTTCTGATGACTCCATTCCATCTGATGGTTCCACGAGACTTCTGGTAACTCTAGTCATCTTCATACGAGTCCTTGCATGATGCAATTTTGTTTTTAAATGCAAAATTGTGCATGGGTGTCACATTGTTATTGCTTTTGAGACAGTTGTTAAGTCAAATGGATGCTTAGCAGTCATTTTTTAGCGATTCCAGACGATTTTTTTTTTGTCGATTTAGACATCTTTTGTTGATTCTAGATGTTTCCTGAAGACTCCACAGGTCTTCAGAAGACTAATAAACTACAGTGTTACTGAATTTGTCGTCATCTAGCCCTTTTTCGCTTAGGGTGATTTATGCGTCTTTTAGCGACTCAAGGCGTCTTTTAGCGAGTTAAGTCGGTTTAAGGCGTCTTCTGAAGACTAACGTCAGGTATGTACAAATTTCGAAGTTTTTAACGACTTTTGTGTCTTCTGACGTTTGTAGGCGTCTTTTGGATACAAGCTTTTGTCGTTTTCCGATGACTGATGCTGACTTCTGACGATTTCTAGATTAATGAGATTTTAGGTGCCTTTAAAAGCGACTCAATGCGTATTTTAGATGTCTTGTGACGACTTTATGCGTCTTCTGACGTATTGAGTCATCCAGGCCTTTTCTGTGAGTCGTGTGACTCTCTGTCACTAGTGCGATGACAAAAGTAACGTCTTGTGCGGTGAATCTCCGTGCAAATCTAATGGAGAGTCATCTCACATGACGTGACTTATGTCACCTCACTAGTGACAGACCCCCTTATTTTGCAAGTCACGTGACTCCCTGTCACCAGTGAAGTGACAATTATCAATTTACCGGTGTGAGAGAGAGTCAAGTAGCTCGCAGAATAGGAGGGAGAAAGTCACACGACTTGCAGAATGGGACGGATCTTCTGAATTCTGAATTAAGCCGCCTTTTTACGACTTTCATCGTTTTTGGCGACTTAATGCCTTGTGAAGACTTTAGGTGTCTTATGAAGGCTTTAGGCGTCTTATGAAGGCTTTAGGCGTCTTATGAAGACTATAAACATCTTCTGACGACTTTAAGCGTCTTCTAGCGTCTTTAAGCGTCTTATGACGAACTTAGGTATGTTATGAATTTCTGACATCTTCAGGATAGCCTTCAATCCCCTCTATTCTGCGAGTCACAGACAGAGAGTCACGTGACATGCATAATAAGTAGAATTACATTAAGCGTCTTATAGCAACTTTATGCGTATTCTGATGTCTTAAGACATCTTCTGACAAATTCTGACGGCTTTTCTCGTCTTTTGTCAACAGACCTTAGGAGTCTTATGACGACTGATTTTAAGGGGTCTTTTTAAGATTGATTTCATCGGATCTCTGATGACTCAAGCACACTTAGAAATAATTAATTTTACACCTAACGGAATCCATCTTTGACATAAAAGATGAGAAGTAAACAAACATGTCATTTAATATTAAGTGATCCGAGACTGAAAATTTAAGTACTCGACGAAAAGTACGTATGATTGAGCTGAATTTTCCATCTATTATGACTCATTTTTATGTCAAAATTGACGCTCGTATTTTTCACTCTCAGAGCACCTAAATTTGCATGCATTTTTTTGAGTGTGAGGCTTATTCTGCATTTCAGATGATTCTAGGTGTCTTAGGAGGCTCTTTTGAAACTATTAATCAATAATACATCTATCGATATTGGACGTATTTATCGTCTTTAAACGTCTTCTGATAACTTCTGTTGAATTGAGGCGTCTTCTGACGACCTTTAATGAGACGGCTTCTGACGATAAACTTTAGTGGTCTTTTGACAAGTTAAGTAAAGTTTCATGACGTATCTTATAAATTTCTGACAACTTCAGGTGCCTTTGGAGGCTTACCCAGTTTCATTACACGGAGATGTAAAACTACCCAAAATTAAGTACTTTTCCCTCAATTCCGGAGTTCAGCTCAATAACCCAAATTTGAGTAAATCGCGTATAGTAGTTACCATTTATCACCAGCAAACAAAATAACCTACTCTTAAGTATATTCTACCCAAAATTAAGTTAAATTCACGTAAATTTGAGAATATTCAATTTACTTAAAAGTAACTTATTGGGTTGAACTATATCGTTGGGTCGAATCTCTCGTTCCTTTTGCAAGTGAGAGGCTGAACTCAATATTAAGTAAAAAGAACTTAAATTTTGGGTAGTATACGTGTATACTCTTCGTCTTCGACTATGACTTCGTACGTCTTCTTACGACTTCTGATGGCTTGAGGCATCTTTTTTCGTTTTGAAGCGTCTTCGGACAACTGACTTTAATAGTCTTTTGTGGACTGAATTTAAACTTTTTCTAACGACTGATTTTAGGCTTTTTTGATGACTTCATTCTTCTCCTGACAACATTGGGCAGCTTCTAAACTGGTG